ATTTATTTCTTTATAAATTGGTCAATGATCGGTTTTTACTCCTCCCGTGTCTTTTGAACAGGAGTAGGGGTATATCCTTTGTTTCCTTTCACTCTCAGTAATTCCTTGTGTCTTAGTGGCATTATCGCCTTATTGGGGTGAATTAATTTTTAAAAAATTGCATTACATTAGTTATAACATGTTTTTACAATGTAAATTCTTACAAATAAACTATTTAATAAATAGTATTTAATATTTTTGTTGTAAATTCTCAATAACAAAGAAAATGTATAAATTCATATGTTTAGGTTTTATTAAAATAAAACTGATGAGGAGTGAAGGTAGTTTAAATAATAGCAGCTTCAAGGGAGAAACCGTCTTTTGATACAACCTTTTTTGGCGAGCACTAAGGTTCGTTAAAATTTGCAGCTTTTTTAAATGAATAATTATAAGTATACATATAAATACTTATTGATAGGTACTTAGTTGAGAGTGCATGAGTTGGCTGAAACATGGCGTCTCCCCTGGGCTTTTTCTAATCTCATTATAGATCTCATTTGTTCTCAACAGGCTTGTTACCCTTTCTTTAGTTGTACCTTTAGTAACACCACAACAACGACGTGAAAGGGGTCAATGTGTTTTATGTCAAGATTCACAATGATAAAATTATTTTTTTTATCGTTTTTTTTTTGTTTCCATTTCTCCAGCTAAAGAAAGATTCCAGATACCCCGAAGCGTGGGTAGTGATTAATTTTGAAAGTTCACAAATTTGAGATATCCGAGCCTTCTCAGCAGTAAGGCGACTCCGAATTGTTATTTCCACTTTCCAAACGAGACGATCCCATTTGTAACTTAAAACCCAAAGCTTGTATACATCGCTACGCTAATAGGCAGAAAAGAATTTTTAGCAGACCTCACAAACTATAATAACTATCTCACTTGTTGGCTATTACGGCTTGTGAGGGCTTCCTTACTTTGCTGGGTTCAGCGTTAGCACCAACGAAGGTAATCAGCAGGGAACGACCGGAAGTCCCAGAAATTATAAAAACACTGACCGAGGCATATTTGGTGTCTTTTCCACTCTTCCTTTTCAGCGGCGTCTACCTTCAAGGCCCAACTTGAAGGACTACTCACAACCCTTGCTGCAGAAGACACGTAATAGTCCTAGCAGTTTCACATTCAGATTTCTCGTTCCTCGTGGGAACAAGCGGGGAAATATCTCTCTAAAAAACATCTACTCAAGGGAAGGACTATTTTGCTCTATTTCAACCACAAATAAAAAACTGCTAAACAATTATTTCAGGCCTTGGGTTTGTTCATTCCACTTTATGTACTGATCGCACTCGCGCGCGAACAGACACACAAAACCTGGAAAATTTCCTACAAAACCAAATTTGAAGCAAAGAAATCTGTAGAATATCATTTTCTGTTTAGCCGAATATAAACACTTGCATTTTTATAACTAACGTGTGATATTCTTTGCTTATCTTGTATGCCAATAACCTTCCACCATCACCGAATAGACCTTGAACCTTCACTGAAATAACAATGGCTGGGTCTTCTTTCAGAATCGGATGTCTAAAGACACTGGCTGTTCCAGACCTGAAGTGAACTTATATATATATATATATATATATACATATATATATATATATATATATATATATATATATATATATATATATATATTTTAGCTAAAGATGTTGGGAAAGTGGTCGGTTCATTGTACCATCCCTGTAAGTCTCTGATTTCTCTATCTTTACAAGAGTCAGATCAGACCAAAAGGAGTCTTGCTGCTGTCACATGTGGGGCTGGAGCTTCCCAGTTCTCACTTGCCTGTCTAGAGTTCAAAAGCATCTACGCGGTCTTGTGAGTAATGAATTACTTTCCACCCTACAACCCACAAACGAATCGTCGCTATCTCTATCTGTTTTTTTTTAACGGTAAGGTTCACCCTGTACAAGGCTCGGGGGCCACTCGATGTAGAAGGTTACGTTAAGGGGTAGTTTATATGGATAGGAATGAAAGATAAGTTAACTCTAGACATGAACAAGTTAAGATTGTAGTGATCGGAAAAATATCCTGTTGAGACTCTGTTCCACAGTGCAGTGGTTCCCGCGAAGAAGCAGTTCGGGTGGAACTTACTTCTCAAGGATGATATACGGAGGGAATGTGGGTGGGGCTTGCTGCACTGTAAGTGACATAGCGGACTCTTGCCGTGAAGATTAGACCTGACGGAACCAAGGAATGTCATTCGTCCGAGCACTTTCCATGGAAGTAGCGATAGAACAGAGAGAGAGAGAGGGGGAGAGAGAGAGAGAGAGAGGGAGAGAGAGAGATACGCCATATCCCGTCTGTGGGAGAGAGATTTTTTTCCATGACAATTGATCTGACAAGCTACATCCTTTGATCCCTCCAGTCCTGACGGCCATGCCACGTCCACGAGTATGAATCATCACAGTTCTTTTCGTATTCCATTAGTAAGGAGTAAGTTCCATTCAGGTAGCTTCTTCCTGGCAAAACTCCCGGCAGGATGTTTTCCAGATCGGTACCATCTTGACCACTTCAAGTCTCTGGTTAACAGTAATATTTCTTACATAATCTCATGTCCTTTTTTTAAAATCATTGCAGCAAGGCAATAAAGTGATTAGACGCAAGGGGGTTACTTATTTGAAAAAAGGATACATTATTAAGAAAAGGGAACAAAAAGAAAACAGGAATTAACAAGACAGAAGATAAATGCACGTTTTGCTTTTTCTTACTCTCATACAACACTACACAGTTAAGCACTATCTTGAGTAGCTCTTAGGCCTTGTGAACATTAATATTAAAAAAAAGGAAAAAACAAGTTCTTACAAGAGACTTCAAAACTGCAATGCAGCACACAAGTAGACATCTTCCAAAATGTTTTGTCGCACGGATACACTGGTCAGCTTCCATACTCCCAAGGGAGTCACGGATTCCAACAAACGTAAATTCTATACTAATAAGTTATTTTCTTGCACTTCTTGCTTGTGGAACTCCTTTCCGGCTCCATGCTTTCCAGCCAGCTTTAATTTTTCAAAATCTTTAATACAATGTCAATCGCTATCTACTGTCCTCCTGAATACTCTTTCCTCTTCCCACTCATTATTAATGTTTCTGTTCCTAATTCTTTCACACCCTGTAACCCTTTGTTGGATCTTGTCACGATTAGTGAACTCACTCACGGCAGGGTTTGCTATTCTTTACCAGAAGATGAGTGGATTCGTTATTCTTTACTTGAGAATAATGGGGTTCGCTGTTCTAGACATGAACATTATAGTAACTTTAAGGTTCAATAGCTGTTTTCATAAACTAGTTTTAATTTATTTATTCAGATATCCGGGAACCCTTAAGATGGATAGTATTTACGTTCACGGAGGTTGTGAAGCCATTACTTTGTGTTGAGGAGGATAGTTTACCAGTGATTGTCTGGATGAAGAACAAATCATTTATTCGACGGGAATTAAAATATGAATCATGTTAGACATTTATGAATTAAACAAAGTGCAGTGCCTCTCTACACGGTTATGTGTGGAAATGCCAAATGAAAGACTGTTTATGGTACCAAACGAAATGTAGCAATAAGAACTCATTTTATTTTTAGTTCATGTGGATGGAACGAAATATAGTTAAAAGGTTCTTGGGGTTCTGTAATGCAATCACCATACAATATCCTTTCAATAACTAAGTTATTTTAACTGTTTTCTTTTTCATGGAAAATGAATAACATGTTATTTTAATTGTTCATCTATTAAAAACAAGTTTATTTCTATTTCCAACATTGCTTTTACTAAATAGAACATATTTTGTCAAGGGTTTGTCAAGGGTTCGCTATTCTTGACATGGGAATAATTGGGCTCTTTGTTCTTGACATGGGAATAATTGGGCTCTCTGTTCTTGACATGGGAATAACCGGGCTCTCTGTTCTTGACATGGGAATAATTGGGCTCTCTGTTCTTGACATGGGAATAATTGGGCTCGCTGTTCTTGACATGGAAATAACCGGGCTCTCTGTTCTTGACATGGGAATAATAGGGCTCGGTGTTCTTTACATGAGGATAATAGTTTCGTTGTCCTTAACATGGAAATGTTGGGTTCGCTAATCTTGACAAGATCACCCCTTGTATCTTAGTGGCTTTACCGCCTTACATAGGTTGAAACCGATTAAAAAAAAAATTACCCCTTCCTACACATAAAGATCATAAAAATGTGCCATTTAATCACTAATTAATGTTTTTTCCCCTTCAATAACAATTTATTATGAACAAATGCAGCACGTTTTTCTCGATTTTTAAAAAATACAATTGTGCAATGATCATTGTTATTAGCTTTGTATTTCTGTTCTTGAAATATTGAATATTTGTTTCTTTGTTTTATTCCCAACATTAAATAATATTAAATAATATGGCCTGATGACGTCAAAATAAGGGACATGAGATCTCATTCATTTTTTTAAAATCTCAAATTTTAATTAAAAGCCAAAAATTGGTTGAAAATAATAAATGATTAATAAAATTAAGGAGAAAAAAGAAAAAAAAAATGTAATAGCGTAAATACTTCAATTTTTCAACATTAATTTAAAAAAATGGGGATTTTAAAATGACGCATAAAAACTGCGAAATAGCAGAAATCAAAGAGAATGTTTTTTAACTGCATATTGCCAGTTAATGACTTCTGAAAGCAGTAATGCAACGTCTTGAAAACTTTATATTGATTGATTCATTTTTTTACAGTTTATCAACCCTCTGAAGGTTATTTAAAGCCAGAAAATATTTGTTTAGATTGTATGATTTTATTTTATTTTATTTTTAGATAACAATCGTTTAGTGATAGTTATTACTAATTAACCCATAGCTGTGGGGTATAAGCGGTGGATTCATACTTTTCCCAAGCATATTTGCGTGTAAGTGAATATAATGAGCCCAACGGGGATTGGAACTTGGTTCTCCAATTAACAATTCCGAACCATTATTCATTACACCACCCGCTCATCCAAACTTACAGCACCTGGTATTCACAAGCGGTCACTCATCTACGTACTGACCAGGCTCGATGTTGCTTAACTTTGGTCATCGTACTGGAACTGGTGTTTCAACGTGATGTGATTGTGTGGGTTACCCCACTTAACTTTACTAAAAAAACCGTCGCTAGGGGAAGCTCCTTAAGCCTATAAACAGATAATGATATTCTCAGTCACTCTCTCTTTTATATTTTTTCTCTTGGACAATAAGATGTAGTTCGTGGGGAAAAGGTGCTCCTCACCGGGGAACACACGTTCACTTCACTTTCAATTATTTTTCTCTCAGACTTTTCCTACACAAACTTCATACACACAAATACGTTCTCTTGTTTAAATGTTTTCTTCTTTCATATTCATTGTTTTTGTCACCTGAAACAATCTTCTATTGTTATTGTATACTATTGGTAAAAATACATTGTCGTTTGTTTGTATATAGTTATGTTGGTACGTTCATTACCCGGACTCACATTCGAGTCCGCAATAATTGTTGTGGGGAAAAAAAAATATACCAGGAGACACGTTTTCTATCTAAATACAACCAGCATTCCCGCAATAGTCGTAAGCCGTTTGAGATTTCCATAATTAAGAGATAAAATTCTAAAATACTTCAATGAATAAATAAAAATCTAAAATACTTCAATGAATAAATAAAAATCAAAAATTACTTCTTATTTGAAGTAACCGTCAACAAATAATAAATTAGAGGCATATATCATAACCTTCAATACGTAAAATAAACTTTCAAACCTCGAGTTAAAAACCGAATGTAATTAAAATTGTTTTTAAAAATATAATTAAAATTGTTGTTAAAAACCGAATGTAATTAAAATTGTTTTTGCTTTGATAATTTTTAATTCTGAAGATTGGAGATGTTGTGAAGAAAGCTAAACAAATTTGGATTTAAAACTTATAATTTCAAAAAAGTGCCAAAAATTTAATTAAGAAAAAAAACAAACTTTGACTTAAAATTTATCATTTTGCAGGGTGAATTATTTGCAATAAGTAACTTTGAAAGTTTACATTTTGGGGTGTGAATTAAGACAGAAAACACCCGAAAAGTGAATTATATCGAGAGAAAAAATGATCCTTAATTATAACGTCGAATTTGACTACTTAAATGGTCAATATAATCATAATTAGTTGATAATTAAAAAAATCATACAATGAAAATAAATAAATTGATGAAGATTTTCAAGTCATGTAGGGCGTAGCTGACCACGGCTCTCCACAGATTCCTTTTCTTTATTTACGAATTGCCATGACTTCTTGTGAAAGATAATGGAATAGTTTCCTGTTACGTTCTCTACAGTTTAGAAGTCAGTTTTTTGTTCTCTTAGATTGGTTGCCACTCGAAGTTAAACGCCGACTCCACTTGCCACGACAACAACCATTATTCTAAAAGTTACACGAGACGCGCATACCAAGGGAGATAATTCTTACTTTAATAATTCCCTTTCGCTAAATAAATCCGAGTTTTAAAAAATAACTCGGATTTATTTCACAAGGAAATTAACTGAAATAAAGCAATCTTCAGAAAGACCAGACAATCAATCTCTCTTTCTCTCTTTCTTTCTCTCTCTCTCTCTCAGCGCACCACACACCTGATTATCCTTATTTTTCATAAATTAAAAAGTACAGTGTAACCCGGATATAAGAGACCCGGATATAAGAGACTTCTTCTCCGGTCCCGACAACTCTCTTATATCCGGGTTACACTGTACTAACTAAATAATTAAAATAGAAATATATGTATCTTTCAGATATGTGCTGCAGTTACATGTCCCGTGATTTTTCCCGATTTAATACAGTAAAACTTTTACTAAAAAAAAGCAATCAAAAATTACAATTAGAGATTTCAGTTTGTTAAAGTGTCTCGAAAACTCAACAAATACCAACATTGGAGAACAGAATTTTCGAAGGCAAATGCGACGCGGAGGGAAAAAAATGATTTTAGATAATTATTTTTTATTCTTCTTATCGTTTATTCATTTATTTGCAGTTAGATTTTTTTTCTTTTAAATCTCTTCTTAACTTTGTCTTAATTTTAGTTTTCAATTGTTAGTAGAAAATCCATGAAATATTTAAATTACATTCCTCTGTAACATAATGGGCTTCGCTCGATTGTTTAGGAGTCACGTAGTCAAGTGAACTGTAAAGGATTTTATTTGGACCTGCATCAATTGAGGTTTTATGACAACCAACAATAAAATCGAGATGTGAGTGTTTCAAATCAAACACCAAAAATAGGAGAAAAGAAATGATATGAATAAATGAATGGCATTGGAACATCTTAATTTCAACCAGCCACATGGCACATCACGCACAGCTATTTTCTAACAGAAAAACTTATAAATATTGTCCTTTTCCAGCTGTATACACACAAGCATGTTTTCTGTCTTAAATATGTTATTCTTTATATAAAAATAAATATGTAAAATTCGTGGGCATGTTGAATTTGTTTTGTTGGAAAATGAAATAAAACCAATGAATAGTAAAAAGAAATATATTTTTCGTGAAGCCAGTAATAAAGAAATCGGAAATTTTATTACCCACATCTGGCCCATTAGGTGGTGCTGTTTAAGTTCTATAAAAAGACAAACATTTCTTTCCTTTTTCTCTCTCCAAGGTGTGGCAGAGCGTGGGAAAAAAGGCACCCCCACTTGGAAATGTTCCTTTCCTCAGTCGACTGATGGATGAAATAAAAACAAGCTTTACTTTGGTCGTTCCAACTCAGTGCAAAGCTGACTTGATCTCGACGAATACAGTTGTCTTTGTCATGACTTACCCTAACTTACTTATATTGACCCAAAAGAAAACATCATTTGCCAAAAATGACTAGAAAAAGAGATACTTTTCCCCTTTCCAATGCATAGCGCTCGCACGTGTCTTCCAAAATATCTACTTAGGAAGTAAATCAACCCTTTCTTTGGTTGTTCAAACTGAGCGCAAGGACTACTTGGGCTCGATAACGATGTTTATCCTTACTTACCCTAACATCTGGAACACAAAAGGAAAACGGACATACCTAACAGTCGTTGAGAACTTCGTTTCATTAGAGAGAATGATCGTCCCGTCGTTTAAACCCAAGTTTGTGTATGTCTCTACATAAACATAATATCAGCCATAAACACCTTGGTTGTCCCTGTGGTGCAATACAGCTTTAATATCCTTAATTGAACCATAGCTGACATTAAGCAAATGGACGCCAAAACGAGAAAGTTTCTCATTTGCTACCGCATGCATCATCCCAAAGCTGATGTTGAGCGTCTGTATGTGCCCAGATCCGAAGGAGACAGAAGATTAGTTCAACTAGAACTGTCCTACAAAACTACAATAATTGGCTTTCAAAAATACCTGGAAACTACAGAAGACTGGATGATGATATTGTAGACTCATCCATTATCCTTACCTTTCCAACCTAACAAAAGCAGAGTCCAAAACGTACGCCTACGTACCTAAAAGCTTCGACCAATAAAAAACGGCAGGAAACGAAGCAAGCAACCCCATTGGTCAATCACTTTAAGTTCACGTGCAAAACTGAAATTGCGCCACCTGGTGGATATATAAGGAAAAACTTTTGAACCTTCCGAGGAGCGGAGGAGCAGAGTAGCTGTAATTACCAACTTTCAAGATGTAACATTTCACCGACTCCCGTCTTAGTCATCGCTGACCAGACGTTTAAAGAAAATTACCAACTTCATACAGTCAGGACTCCACACTCGGAGAGATGCCAACCAATTCCACGCCAATTTAAACTTTGACTTTCCCGCGCGAATTAACCTGACTCAACAACCTAATGGTTTACTCAATCTCTCTATCAAACAAACTTCCCAAAAATTCATTTACTTTACTTGAGAAAGTGGAATATATATTCACTACATAATTAGTAACAGTAACAAACAAAACTTTCAACAATTAACAGTTCAAGGTACGCAACTTCGTACAACTTAAGAATATTTACAATAACACTCGTATACACACATTAACATTTGAACTGTATCAAACACTTTTGTACGTTGAACAGCAAACTGTTTAATTCTTACCATAAATCATCAAAACATTGATTTAAGCATTCAAACATAATCAACAACAAACTACATGTCTTATTACACCAATATACGACAAATCATCAACTCATTTGTATTTTAAAATATTGTATATAAATTAATGTTATTGTTATGCATTCAACTTTTGTCTTGTTTTTCCAACTTTATTTGCATGATTTGTTCTAAGTAATTGTTGTGGACGAATGTTTTAGAACACACCCTCGAAATTCCTTCTGATTAATAAAAACACAACAACCAGTCCGCAACAATATGTTTCAAAGAACATGAAAGTAGTAAGCGTCTTTATTCCGTAATAAAAGAAGCCAACAAGTTCAAAATGGAGTTTCAAATGGATTCAGCAATACAAGTAAAGCACAATACACCAACTAAAGCTGCAAAATATATAAAAAAAGAAAGCAAAAACAAATGCAACCGACCAGATACAGAAACAATAGTAAGATAAACCGCTTCATGGCTAATATCCTTCCCGTACCAAACATGCTGATGTAGACAAGCCCCGTATCTACCAGTGGCTACGTAGTGCAGAGTTAAAAGCTGAAACGGAAGGTTTTATCCTTGCTGCACAAGATCAGTGCTTGTTAACTAGAAATTATCAAGCATACATACTAAAATACTGTGTTAGCCCAAAATGCAGGTTCTGTGATAATTACCCAGAAACAATCGATCATCTTGCATCAGGTTGTACGATATTGGCACCCACTGAATATAAAACCCGGCATGACAGAGTTGGCCAATATCTGCACTGGAAAATCTGCAACTTCTACGGAAAGGAAACTGAAAGAAATTTGTATGAACACCACCCAGACCCGGTTACGGAAATAGGACCTGTTACAATTCTATGGGACTACACAATACACACTGACAGAACAATCAAAGCTAACCACCCAGACATTGTTATTAGAGACCGCAAACAAACAAAAAAAAGTACCTCCTTATTGATATGGCAGTCCCTGCAGACTGCAATGTATCTTTGAAGATATTCAAAAAGCTGTCAAAATACAAGAACCTTGAAA